AATAATAATAATAATAATAATAATAATAATAATAATAATAATAATAATAATAATAATAATAATAATAATAATAATAATAATAATAATAATAATAATAATAATAATAATAATAATAATAATAATAATAATAATAATAATAATAATAATAATAACAATAATTAATAATAACAATAATAATAATAATAATAATAATAATGATGATAAAAATAAACAATGGTAATGATAATGAATAGTTGCGAAAATTATGCAACACTAATGCATTCACAGCTAATTTAAAAGTAATAATTTTATTTAAGTATTTAACAATTAACAAATTACACCATCGAAGATGTTATTTATCGTAATTTCTTTCACTGAAGTAAATATATCATAATTATACGTAACACAATCGAATGTAGATACCACCGTAATCGCTGTTTAGTATTCTCTCATTGATGTAACGATATCGTTTTCAGGTAATATCATCATTTCAGTATAGATATTACAGTAAGACATTAGTACCATAATTAGATAAAGGTACCACATCTGTTTACAAATAGACTAATATTTTTAGGTGTGAAAAATACGAAAATGGAACGGTAATAATGCATGGCATCCATAAAGGAACCGAAAATGGAACAACGTTCCAGGTGGAATGCATTGATTCGAAAGGTGAACATCATATTGCCGGTAGGTGTTTTAAAATTTAAGTCAAATATAGGAAATCAAATATTTATTAATCAAAGATCATTTTAATAGAAATATATGAATAGTATTGTTACAAAATAGATTTAGAACACTAAAAAAAGAAAACATATATGGCTTACAAAGTTCTTAACAGGTAAATATCTGATAATTCAAAATTTCTATCAATATTTCAGTATTATATTAAAACAATATATAAACAATGAATAAGTAAATGAATGATTGTTTTATCTTATTTATATTATCTTTATTATTAATTCATTTTTATCTATTTTATTTCGATTATTTTATCCTTATTATTTTACAGATTCTTGGTGGATAGATGGCCATCGATTCAATAAGACATGCTTACCAAGTGGTAGAATTGAAATAGTTAATTGCATTTCAAAAGATGGAATTCGAATTCCATTAAATAAAGAAATAATCATCGATGGTACGAAACACATGTATGTTCAACATTTTCAATTATTGTTTGAATATTTATTTGAAAAACTTTTGAAATTTTGAAAATTTTTTTTGTTTATTTGAAAAGTAAAACTTTTGAAAAACTTTTAAAAAAGCATTTTTTTCAACTATTTAATTTAATGAAATGCATTGCATATTAATGGATATTATAATATGAAATATAATATTAGATAAATATATACATATGAATACTATATCTCCTAAGTAATTTGAAACTTATCACCTATTGTCACACCATTATCACATATTTAACTATTTCACATTAACTTTTAACAAATATGGTAGCATGAAATGTAATTTTAAAAGATCAATTCATTATTTCATTGATATACTATATGCACATATATATATATATATATATATATATATATATATATATATATATATATATATATATATATATATATATATATATATATATATATATATATATATATA